AGCATGCACAAAATCTGCCCAAACTCCAGACAGACATAGAGGGTATAAGGTGAGCAAGAAATCTCATCATTAACTGAGGAACTATTGACATTTGATAGTTTCTGAGAGAGAACGAGACTCCCTGGGTGAAACAAACTGGACTCAATGGAGAAAAGAACACTTTTTTTTAACTCTACAGCTTCCATGTGTGCATATCTATCTATCTATCTATCGATCGATCTATCGATCTATCGATCTATCTATCTACACATGTTATGCCTTTGATTGTGTTTTTATGCGATTCCTGAGTGTGTGAACAAGTGGTTCTCTGCCCCTATATCTGTTTTTTGTGCTTTTTCTTCTTTTTGTTTGTTTTGTCATATTATAATGTGTTTATTTATGTTTTATCCTATTTTATTTTATTATTATCCCTTAGATACCTGTTTGTTTTGTAATGAGAGACAGAAAGAGGGTAGATCTGGAAGGGAGGCGAGGTGGGGAGGAACTGAGAGTAGAGAGAGGGGGGAAACATAATCAGGATATATTGTATAAAAATTTATTTTCAACATAAGGAAAATACAGAAATATTTCCATAGATATCAATGAGGTCCTATCCAAACCAATCTCTTTCTCAAATAACTTCATTTTTTTCATTCAAAATGATAAAATAAACCTGTATTTTTATATGTATGTATGTATGTATGTATATATGTATATTTGCTGAAAGTGAGATTGTGATTTTTGGTGAAGATTTAAAAACACAAGAATCTCAATGTTGTGTATAAGTAGATAGTAGTGTGGGGAAGGTGATCATGGGGGAAGTTGGGAGGCTGAATATGATTAAAATATATTGTATGAAAGTCTTTATGTATTTGATAAAATACTGTTAAAATACTTAGACATAAGTCTAATATAGTGTTCCTAACAAAAACTTTAAAATAATTAGAGCTATTTTTAAACTATAAGAGTTTTTAAAATGAGTATGAATATTCATAAGGAAATATTTACGTTTATAGTGAATACCTTATAGGGATTATTACAGAAAAGAGGGAATCCTAAATTTCTGTGTGAGCACAGACTCATCTACATAAAACTTTTAAAAGCAGATCAAATCTAAAGAAATAACTGATACAAATAAGGAATTACATACAACAAAATAAGACATTTTATGAAAAAGAATGTAGATATCTATCAAACCTAGTCCATCTATGCGCTATTTATCTCAGCAGGTTCTTTGCCGGTTTTTGGTTTGGAAGATCAATCTAGGTGTGACAGCTGGATTTGGAAATCTCTCACTAGTATTATTTCAGAACCTATATGGTGTTTATGTCTATTGATATTTTAATGAAATGGGAGCCTCTGAGCCTCAGTGCCTAAACATTTATGGTAATTATAACCTTTGGGGTTGAAGTCTATATTATCAGATATCAGAATAGTTACTACATTTGTTAGACTGATTTTCAACCATAGATTTTCAGTTTTCATGTTTCTGTGAGTTTTGTTTTTTGAGAGAACAGTTAGTCCAAATTTATTTTGTAATCCATTTAGTTGGTGAATTAAGGGCATTTGAATTCAAAATTATTGTTGAGAAGAGTTTGTTATTATAAATGCTTTTTTGACTGTTCTAGTTGTTTGGTTTATTGGAAGTTTTTTTCCATCCTTTCCTGGTAGCATTGACTGTTTGCTAATTTGCTGTTCTGCACATGATCAATTTTTTCCTGGTTCTCTTCCATTCATCTATTGCTCTCATGAGATTTATTAATTTCTGTGTTTGTGGATCATGAATTATCTTAACTTATGTCAGTATTTAAATGTTCTTATTTATTCATCAATTTTAATAGATAACTTTGATAGTTGACAATTATTTATGTTCAGGGCTTGAAATATATCATTCCATGTGTTTCTGCCTCATGAGTTGCTACTTTTCACTTGTAGCTTTAAGTTTTATGTCTTTACATTGTACTTTTGACATCTTGACTATGATATTTAGTAGGGAGTTTCTTCTCTGATAATGACTATTTGGGGGTTTAAGATGTTTAATGTACCTAGATAATTGTTTGTGAAATTCTCAGATATAGTTTATGGTCTAGGTTGTCTAAAACTGTTGACTTCATGTCAGATGCTTCTAGCCTATGGATTCTTAGGATTAGTCTCTAGAACATATGTCAGACTTTTTGGAAGTTTTGGTCACAGTCAATTGTTTTTTCTCCATATGTGTGTATATTTATTATTGTCTTGATCTTATCTTTCATCATTAAAATTCATTATTCTTCTCTAATCTTATCTCTTGATGGTGGTTTTGCTGTTGTGATGGTTATTTTGGTTGTCGATTTGACTATATCTGGGAATAACTAAAATCCAAGTGGATGGGTACAACAGTGAGGGATTTTTCCTAACTAAATCATTTGAAGTGGGTAACCCAACTTTAATCCAGATCTTTTAAAGTGGGAAGACCCACATTCAATCTGTGCTATACCTTCTGCAGGCAGCCTATAGAAAAGTCATGAAAGAAGAAAACACTCTTTGCCTGCTTGCCCTCACTCTTGCTGGCAAGTTCATTCCTTCTCTGGCATTAGAGTCTACTTCTTCTGGATTCCCATATATATTGAAGACCACCTGAGACACCCAGCAATGTAGACTGAACACATACTAGATTCTTGGACTTTTCATTGGGAGACAGCCATGTTGGACTAGTTGGATCACAGCCTGTAAACTACTTTAATAAATCCCCTTTATACATAAATGCACACACATACATATGTACATACATACATACATACATACACATTCATCCTATTAGTCATGTTCCTCTAGAGAACCTTGACTAGTACAGCTATTACTATTAACAATTTGATAGATTCATTCATTCTTGTGAATTTATATTTGATTCTTTTTCAGCATTTCAGTTTCTTCACTGAGTCCTCCCCTCCCACATCTTATCTTTTTTCTCCAAGTAACTGATTCTTTTGTCTATCTACTGTTAACTTTCTTGTATGTCTTGAATTGATTTCATAAATTTTCACGTCTAGATTTTAAATTAACTTTATTATATGTTAATTTGGGTCCCCTGTTTGGCTCTTGTTTTGGTTATTATCAGTTGTACAATTGATAAAATCTAGAATCATCTGAAAAGTTAATCTCTGGGCATGGCTGTGGGTGACTATCTTCACTGCGTTAATTGAAGTGGAAGACCATCAACTGTTGATGACCCCATTTCCTAGGACAGGTTTTTGGACTGTTTAAAAGTGATGATGTGATCTGAGCATACACATTCCTCACTTTCTATTCCTTGATTATATAAACAATGTGACCAGTTATGTCAAGTTCCTGTTGATACAACTTCCCCATCACAGCAGACAGTGACCTTTACCTGTGAGCCCAAACAAACTTTACCTCTAATAAGATGCCTTTGTCAGGGTACTTTTATCACACTAACACCAAGACAGACTATAGGCACCAGGAATGGGGCCATTGCTAACATAGCTGTGGTCTGTAACCCTTTTGAACTAGTTTGTTGGAGCAACGTGGAAGGGAACAAAACTGGGTTTGAAAAGCCCTTGGAATGATATTAGAAAAGCTTAATGAACCATTGTAAAGGGAGACAAGAATACAGAGAGAAGTATGACTATTGGAGACCCTGCTCGCAAGGGTTTAGAAGAGAATAAGGATTCTACCAAAATTAGCATAAGATTCATTCATGTGATAATTTGAGCAAGTATCTGGTTACTGTCTACACTCATCCTAAGAAGTTCAGTTTTAATATAATGAATAGATTTGTTTGGCAGTGTAGGGCCCTGCCTTCCCTGTTCCTTGAGGCCTAAACACAGGATGCAAGAATTGTTTACGCTAACCAGCTTAGCTTCCCCTGCTCATTCTGGCAACTGGAGGGAATTAGTTCAAAGCCTTGTTTCTGTCATTGCTATGATAATTTCATCTGCTAAGAAGGTCCTCACAGGCGCCCTAAATCTCCTCCCATCTGTCTGTCAGGGTTCCCAGCTCGATACCCCCTGCATGGAGGCTCAGGCTGCTGGCACCAAGTGGTCAACACCCCTCATCTCACTCCCAGTGGGAGGGGGGCTCTCATTCTCTTGCCTCCAAGTATATAAGCCTACGTGTGCTGAATAAAGATTGAAATTTACCCCTTGGGCAAATGATCCGATCTCTCTCTCTCTCTCTCTCTCTCTCTCTCTCTCTCTGTGTGTGTGTGTGTGTGTGTGTGTGTGTGTCTGTTCAACTCTTAGGATACTGATTCAGACTCATGGCCGGTACAGGAAGCGCGCCCTGTATCGGAAAGTGGGGTTTCCGCAGATTTGGGCTGAACATGGCAGAAGAAATTTTAAGCCATGAGACCTTCTAGCTGGTGCAAGAAAGCAACTTTTACTGCTAAAGAGACAAGCACCATCAAATAAAAACCTTCTATGATAAACTGAGATGACAGGAAAGGTCCTGAAGACAAAATCCCAACCATCAGAGATTCAATATTATGAATATGTAAATTCATTTAAAGGAAGAAAGCTTAAACTGAAGGGGTTCCTTGCTCCTCAAGGGCAACTGCATAAGGAATGGTTTCCCAGGATCATCACATAGAACCTGTGAGCCAAGGAGGCTAGCTTACATGTCACATGGGCAGCAGAACTGTGCAACATCTACATGGTTTTGATTTTTGCAGGAATTGGGAGACAAAAGATTGAAGGGAACTTGGAGTCCTGCTCCACAGTTTCAGAGCACAAATAACGCTCGGCAATGTGTGACCGTGTTGAAATTCCTCCAAGCAGTCTCTGAGAAGCCATTGTGTGATGCTATGAAGGTGAATCCTAAGATGCAATAGAGACCCCAAAATATTGTAGTTTACAGGACCATGAGATGGATGTCTGCTGAGGAAATCTGGGGGATGGAGTGAAACCAGTCTAAAAGAGTGGCTTCTTAAAGTGAACCCGAAGGTTTGATCCTCTCGATTTGCATGATTTTGTAGGGTTTTCCGGATCAAGAAAGTAGTAAACCATCCTCACGGGTCACCCCATGAAACGGCCCAGGCCATCAAGGGTATGCATATCCGAAAAGCCACCAAGTATCTGAAAGATGTCACTTTGAAGAAGCAGTGTGTGCCATTCCGACGGTATAATGATGGAGTCAGTAGATGCGCCCAGGCCAAACAGTGGGGCTGGACACAGGGTCGGTGGCCAAAAAAGAGTGCGGAATTTTTGCTGCACATGCTTAAAAATGCAGAGAGCAAGGCTGAACTGAAGGGTTTAGATGTAGACTCTCTGGTCATTGAGCACATCCAGGTGAACAAAGCACCTAAGATGCGCCGACGAATTTACAGAGCTCATGGCCGGATTAACCCATACATGAGCTCCCCCTGCTACATTGAGATGATTCTCACTGAAAAGGAACAGATTGTTCCAAAGCCAGAAGAGGAGGTTGCACAGAAGAAAAAAATATCCCAGAAGAAACTGAAGAAACAAAAACTTCTGGCACAGAAAATTTACATTGAACATGAAATAAATGCAGATAAAAGTAAAAAAAAAAAAGAAAAAGAAAAAAGAGTGGCTTCTTTTGTGCAGGTAGCAGATCTAGATGGGTGGGATTGATTAAACTCTTTCTAACCCATCCAATTTCATCATAAGCTCCAGATACTTGCTGTGACATGGTGGGATTTGATGTTTGTCACAATGAGTTTTCTTGTTGTTTGTATACTTTGTGTAATTGTATATTGGAGGATTATAATATTCATTTTTATTTCATAGAAGCTTACAGTTACAAGATTGTTTTGTATTTCAGATGAGATGAGATGTCAATTTTGGACTTTTAAGCCAAACTGGATTGTATTCTGTATTGGGAGATGAATATGGGGTGAACCCAAGAAGAACATGGAGATAGGGGGTATAAGGTTATGATTTAAAACTTATTATAAATTCCTTTTATTTTATTTGCATGCATGTGTACATTTGCATGCCTGTGAAGGCCAGAAGTAAGTATTGAAATCCCTGGAAATGGATTTACAAATGGTTGTGAACCACTAAGTGTGTGCTGGGAACTGAAATGGCTCCTCTGCAAGAGTAACAAGTGTTGTTAACCACTGAACAATCTCTGCAGTACAGTGAAGGAAGATTATATTCTTTTTTTTTTGGAACAAAAATACACAATTTTTTTTTATTTGATGAAAGGAACTAAAAAAACCGTACAGTTATTGCTTGCAATGTACTGGACATGGCTACACTTCATCTGTTTTCTATATATTGTACTCTCAGTGTTTTATTTATTTCTAGTTTTATTGCTAATGAAACATATTTCTATGTAATTTATATGCATTTTGTGCCCTGTCATCCTATTCCATTAAAAAAAAAAAACCCTACTTAGTTTCATATTCTTTCCTGTTGTACCAGAAAACTGACCTCATCTAGGATGAATCTGTGTATAGATTGCTGACTTTGTTGTTCTTAGTGTGTAAAGTGCTAACAACACACTAATTACTACAGTAGTGCTTGTTGTTATTGTTATTTGTTTTTTCAAGACAGGGCTTCTCTGTAGCTTTGGCGCCTGTTCTGGAACTAGCTCTTGTAGACCAGACTGGCCTCGAACTCAGAGATCCACCTGCCTCTGCCTCCTGAGTGCTGGGATTAAAGGCATGTGCCACCACCACCCAGATGTTGCTATTATTTTTGTCTCCCCACGGTCATTATTTTATCCTAAATTGATTTTACTCTACTCAATTAGTTGTGATTTTATCATTACTTTTTTTCATAAGATTCATTCAAAAATTGAGATGGGCAGCAGATATCTTTAGTCCCAGCACTCAGGGCAGAAGCAAGCAGATCTCTGAGGTCGAGTCCAGCCTGGACCACAGAATGAGTTCCAGGACAATCAGAGCTACACAGAGAAACTCTGCCTCAAAAATTATAATCTGGCAGTTTCATGCATTTTTCTAATGACTGTCTATCATTTTCACCCAATACTCCTGTCTCTTGTCCCCTTCCTTCTCCCTCTAAAGCCTTTCCTCTCCCAAGCCCCTACTCTTGTGCCTTCTTTGTGTGACTCACTCATTTTAGAGTGTCTTGCCACATAAGAGTAGGGGATTATTTCCTGAAGCAAGAACACCTTACCAGACGCTACATCACTGAGGAAAACAGTACCCTTCCCAGGGCAGCCATTAAATGCCATTTGAGGTTTAGTTTAAGATAATTTCTGTTCTGAATGTTTGTTTGTTTCATGCTTCTGCTCATTGCAATTTACTTATTCCATCTGGTTATCAAGTCCAGAATTGAGTTTACAATGTATTTTAGTATTTGCTCATAGTTGTGACCAATGGGTTTATGAAGCACGAAGGCTTTCGATCGCAAGGACAGTTTGTCTCTGTTATTCCCAAGTCCTCTTGCCTCTGACTTGCTGTCATCTTCCTGAGAGCCCCAGGCAGGAAGTCATCTGGTATATGATAATGAGTGTATTAAACACAGATGATGGAGGCCTTTCCGGATCAAGTCTCCAAGTCTTTGTCCCAGGTTAAGACAGTGGGGTGCAAAGAGGAAAACTAGAGGCTCCCGGTGGACTGGTCACTGGTGAACTGGTCACTGGAGATTGGGATTAAATAACTTTGGAACCCAAATCAGAAAAAGCATTAATGGTTTGTAATATTTTTGCTACATACTGTAGAAGATAATAAATTTGTGATGTTTTTTAGGAGGAAGAGAGTAAGTGAGCAATGTGTATGCAGCCTATATAGAGTTAGAAGTATGTGAAAGCACTGTTCATCCAAATAGATAAGGCTAAGAGCTGTTAATACATGACGTTATTGTGTAAGTTAGGAACATAGCACTGGAGACAGAACAATGGAAAACCACCACTGTAGCTCACACAAGGCAGGCATTTTGTGTCACAGAAAACTAGATGTGTGCAGCTCAGGGTTTCTAAAGCGGTAGGTTTGGGTGTCAGGCTGCCTGGAGATAGAACTGTGTGTGATATCTAATATCAGTTTTCAACTTGATGAAATCTATAATCAGCTGGGAGGCAGCTCTCTGGACCCACCTGTGGGTGAGATGATCTTTATTAGGTTAATTGAAGTGGGAAGACCTAGTCACTGTAAGTGACACAAATTCCTGGGCAAGGAGCCTGAACAGTATAAAAGGAGTAAGTGAGATGGGCATAAACACTTATTACTCTCTTCTTGACTGTGAATGAAATTTATCCAGATGCCTCCAGCCCCTGCTTCTTCGATTTCCCAAATTTGGTGAGTTTTACCTTCAAACTGTAAGCCAGAATAAACATTTTCTCCTTTATATTGCTTTTGCCTGGGTTTTTTTTATCACAGTAACAGGAAAACCAACCAAGACACTTACTGGTCCTTTTGTAAAAAAATATGATTCAAATATTGATCCTAGCATTCAGTTATCTATCACACCATTCTTGCTTTCTCATGTCAAAAGTGTGGGTATCATAGTTGAATGTTGTCATTTGCTTTTCTTCTTTTCTTTGTTGTATTTCACATATCTGTTGGTCTGTGTCATCCCTCTGCTTTGTAGTTTTCCTCATTTGCCCACTGTTTTAGTCTTTTTCTTTTATGTGGGATGTTCTTCACTTGAGTTTTTGTTCAGTAAGAAAGCCAAACATAGTAACAAATATACTGATGTGACAGCAGTTCCAGCATTAGTCACAGGAGAAGAGACTGTTCACTTAACTTATGTCCCCTTTGAATTTTAGAAATAGTTAGCATAAATGTAGTTTATATTGCTTTTGTTATATTTTCCTTTAAGGATTAAGAGTATCACTATTTAACTTATGAAATGAGGAAGGAATAAAGAAGGGAATAAGGAGTAGAGTAAGAATAAAGAAATGGTAGTGGCAATTTCATTTGTAAATTAATAAATAAATCTTGCCTGAAGATCAGAGAGTAAAATAGCTCCACTGGTCATCCTTACAGACAAGGCAGTGGTAACACACACCTTTAATCTCAGTAGCCACACTAATTTGCCATAGAAACCGGGCAGTGCATGCCTTTAATTCCAGTGGTGCACACCTTTGATTCCAGCCCTAGAGAGAAATATAAGATGGGAGGAGACAGCTCACAGACAGTTTCATTCTGAGATTCCTGGAGGCAGGATCGCCATTTTGACCTGAGGGCAAGGTAAGACTCAGTGACTGGCTGTTTTGCTTTTCTGACCTTCAAGTTCAACCCCAATTTCTCTCTCTGAGATTTTATTAATCATACTTCAAAAGCTATGTGGGTTAGAGGTATGAAAGGCAATTAGGTAGGGGTATTGAGAATGCTTGACTTCAGATTCCTTTCCAATACTTCCGCTGCTACCTCCTCAGTCTGGTGTAGCTTGGGGTATATTGTTCATATCTTTGTGCTGTGCCATTTTCCACATTTTGCCATGGCTTTCCCAAAATTTCATGTATTCCTTGCTAGGCGAGGCCATATTACAACTGGAGGGAAAGCACATTGCAGATTTCTCACTTGTAGGGTCCCTTACTCCTCCTCTGGATTAGTGTCCATGATTTGCAGGGACACTTCTTTTTCCCGATAGACTCAGGTGGACTGGGGTAGCCCCTGTAGAGCTCTTGCCACTTCCACATAGTATCATGGTCAGTCTGATTCTCAGGGTAATGACAGGGAAGGAAGATTACGGGTGTTAGAAATATTTCAATTTCAGATCCCTCTACCCATTTTCTAGAAGATGTCTTACATTTGTTGTTCCTGTGGAGTTGAACCTATTTGGGAAGCTAGCAGTACAATGCTGCTTTGGATGTGCCATATTTTTATAACTCTTTTTTCTTTCTGTTTTATTTTCTCCTATTTCCTTCTTTCCTTTCTCCTTTCTTCATTTCTCTTTTTCCTTCTGTTTCTATTGCTGTGAAGAGACACCATGACCATGGCAACTTTTGTAAGTAAAATATTTAACTGTGGCTGGCTTACAATTTCAGAGCTTTAGTCCAGTATCATCTTGGTGGAACAGGGCAGCCTGCGAACAGACATGGAGCTGAAGAAGGAACTGAGAGTTCTATATCTTGATATTCAGACACCAGACGTATAGATTTCTGGGCATGATTTATGCATGCATGAAACCTCAAAGTTTTCCTCCACAGTGACACACCTTCTCCAACAAGATCACACCTACTACAACAAGTCTATACCTCCTAATAGTGCCATTTTCTATGGGCTAAGTATCCAACCATGAGTCTTTGTGTGTGGGGGCGTACCTATTGAAACCACCACACATTCCTTCCCTTTTCTGTCTCTTTTCTTCTTCTTTTTTCAATCTCTTTTTCTTTCCTTATTCTTTCCTTCCCATCCATCTGTCTTGCTCTCTCCCTCCCTTTCACTTCTCCTTCTCGCTCCCTCTTGTTTCATGGTCTTTCAATGTTATCTTCACTAACCTGGAACTCACCAAACAGCATAGGCTGGACTTGTGGCAATCTTCCTGCCTCCAAATCCCAAATGCAGGGATTATAGACAAGAGCTACTATATCTAGTTTACTACAG